ACCTCATTTATCATTTATACCGACGATACTAGCATATTTGTTTCAGGGAACAACATTGATAGATTAGTTGCCGATGCAAACATATGTCTGAAAAAACTTAGTTGATGGGCTGCCTCAAATTCCTTAGAAAAAAATGAAATTAAGACAAAAGCCGTTATTTTTAAATCAAAAGGTACAGTGTCCAATGATACTGAAAAGTTAATGTGGAACTCTTCGAAAGCTGAATTTGTAAGCACTATTAAAACTTTAGGCGTAATTTTTCATGAACATATGCTATCAGACTCCTATATTCAAACATTTTCACTGAACGTCCCGAATACCGTAGGCATTCTGTATTAACATCGCCATATGTTACCATCTAGTGTTAAACTTTTAATTTTTAACGTATTGTTCAATTCTCGTATATCCTATGCCATCTAGTGTAGACAATCATGGCCAGTAAAAACCTTAATAAACTTTTTTTTTTATTACAGAAGAAAGCAATACGAGTCGTAACCAATGCGTCGTATTATGCACACACTGATCCCCTTTTTTATAAGCATAAAATAATAAAGAAATACCAGAATATTACCAATATAAGCTTGCTACAGTATAGGCGGCATCGGTGCAATGTTTTAGCCATCCATTACCCCGGTTTTCTGGACTAAGTGTTAAAAATATGGTATATGGAGTACGTAGTGACGGATCCCCCTGGAGAGTACCTCGTCCTAAAACAAATTATGAGCTTCAAATGGTACAGTATACACTGCAAAGCGTACTAAATTTTTTAAAAGACCAACATGTTTGTATTGATGCATTTAATAAGAAAACAATACGCAAAATGTTTACCTCTAACTTTTAAAATTTTCTATTGCATGGCACTGCCTGTTTCGTTCAGTCTTTGAAATGTTCGGTTGACTTTTCCTGCCTGCAGATATGTCATTAGGAAGCAGGGGTTTCGTCAAGCTGTACCTTTTGCAGCTCTTTTACCTGTTTCCGTCACCCATATATATGATGGGAGTAAATAAATGAACTTAATCAAATTGAATTGACCTCTAGCGCTGCATTTGGGAGCAGAATAAGCGTTAGGCGATGCATAATTTAGTTTTCCAGTGAAAAAAAACACACTAATCTTTTGTTTTTGCATTGGAAACGATATTTATAATGAGAAAGAAACTGAGGACGCTTCAGAATAAAAATAAAATAAAAAAATAAACGCTGCATTTCTAAGGCCCATTCACTCAGGCCTTTCTGCTCACAATTTCTCACTTTACGTTTTGAATCATCGGGACGTCCGTACTTCGAATATCGCGTGCAGAGTTTCTTCTTGAATTGCAAGTAATGTAACGTAAGAAAACAGGGTGGCGTGAACCAGCCTTTAGAAAGATATTTATGTGAGAGGTGTAAAAATGTACGCTCCATTCTTGTACAAACAGCATTTTGTTTTCTGCATGCCGTCGTGTCATGATAAATACCGTAAGTACTGAAACAGTTGGAACGATGGTGCAATGCGCCTCCTTTTCCCTGTAGATCACTAAGAGTCGGAAATAGGTAGGAAAACAAAAGCGACGTGTGACACTGAGTAGGACATTTCACGAGCTCACGCTGTGATCAGTCTCACATTGCGGACCCCACTTATTCGCCAGAAATAGATTTTGTGTATTTATTTTTCGATTTATGCCTTTTACTACATTTTCGAAGGCTGATTGGTTGTCTCGAAGGCTCTACAGGGAAATTCTAGCGCGTTCAGAATCCACGAGACTTGGAGTACGATATTTTCTTCATCGCCTATCACATAGGGTGTCTGCACAAGTCGTTAAACTTGCAGGAAGAAACATGCAGATTTCGACTAATGTTTATTATGCTTATACATACTTTTTTGTTTTTGTTCCAGGCAATTTTTTTCTGTAATATTTCTTTGAGGTAAGCTTAGTATCACGGTAGTCCTAAATTTTCCTTCGCGTAAATCACGAATACATATGTGAGCGTCTTGAGAAGTAATACGTGTGCTGTTCTTTATTTTCATTAATTAAATATCTGCAGCTTGATAGCATATACGCTCTCCTCCCCACGAAAAAAAAAAAAAAAACAAGTAAAGAGAAAAGAATAAAGAAAGAAAAAGTGCCGTTTTGAATGTTGCCTTTAGCTTTTAAATGTTACTCGCGAGCTCTTTTGTCGCTCCGATGCTCTTGATTGATGTAGCCTTTGTGTATTTTTTAGCCTTTTGTGACGTACTCGGTTCTGTTTCGACGAATGATCACTAGCGAAAGAAGTGAACAACTTTGCCACCACTGAGCAATCCTTATTGTCATAGAAATTTATCTAAGAACTGTTACGCATGGATCGAACAACATAGGGTGCCGGACGTCAAGCAATCGAAGGACAAATCGAAATGTAAATTAATTGTCGAAAACTATATGCATGTGTTCACTATTTTACCCACTAAATCGAAATTGAATAAAAAATAATTCTCAACTCGAGCATCATGAACATTGAACACGAGCAATAAAACTGTGCGAGGAACTAACCTAACACTAAACACAACTGGAGAGCGGATTATCCTAATGAACTTTAGCTGTATTATAAGTCAATGCGAATTGACCATGATATGTTAAAAAATTACGGAAGAGCCGTTTTCATTGGAAATACCGACGTGTTCAATAGCACAATAAAAACTCGAGGGCCTCCCCGCCAGAAAGTATTTTAATCATGCTGTATTTTAAACGGGTGCTCCGACATTAAGCCTCCTCGAGATTCGAGGGGAGAAGATCCCAGCTGCTGATTCCGTGGCACCGTCCCGTGCTGCTATTCTGAGAAACTTCCGCAACTCCCTGCACTTCCTTTTATTGTCTGAAAGTGTTGTTTACGCAATAGGTGCGCAACCGCACCGCCGAATGGTGGAAGCTCACTCCACCTTTCCCTTCCCGCGTGCGACGGGCACTGGGACCTCTGATTGCGAGACGGCACATACTGCTCACTTTGAGATGGTGCGCGACGTGCGGGGTTCTCAACACGTGATTGTTTGTCAGTCCCATATGCGAATCTGGAGTGTCCGCTGCAGATGATGAATTTGGCAGGGTACAGCACTACTGATAGCCTGGCGGTTTTTAACGTCCATCACGAAGTTGTGATCGGGAGCGATAAACACGGGTAACGTGTTCTTAAAGATGGGCTGAAAATGTATCAGCGAAAAAGCGACGTTGAAAATTATACTTGTATACTAAGGAACGCTACAAAATCCGCTTTGGAGTCTTCTTGATCACCCCAACAGCTAACGTGACTTTCTGCAGGATATGGTTGTAGTACCTGAAGTTTCTATTAGTGGTGAGGTGCAGCATAACGACGTTGGAATATAAGACACTAGAGAACCGCGTCTATAATTTACGTGAGCGTAATCATGACACATTTACATGAGTTACTTTTCTGTGCATTTGACTGCCTTGCAGAGGCTTAGGTCCTCATACGGCTGCGAGTTACGATGACCCGTTGCTTTAATTAGTTGCGATGGTAACTTGCCAGCCGTATTTTGACTTAATACTTCAGAACATAGTTAAAACTTAATATGTTTAATATGACTTAACTTTATTCTATTTGCAAAGAAAATCAACATGATCAAATCTTTACTTCAGGGGCATCGGATTTATGGTAATGAAGTCACAGCTGAAACGAGCTTACATTCTAGGCCACACTGGATGTAACGATGACTGAGTAATGTCATCCAATTATTTTTAGTTTGCAATTATATAGATATGTCGAGTGACCTAATCAAGGGCTATTACAGCGTACTATCGGGGAAAAATGAAATGCGAACACAGGAGCGCGTGGCTCGCTGTACATGCTGCGCCGCCTGGAAGTGAACCTAGGGGCGAGGGTGCGTGGCCTACTTCGATGTGTTCACGCCCCTCGATTGGCGCTCCCCCAGCTTCGGCAGTGCGCCTCTCAGTGCGCTGAAAGCTGTCACCGCTATCTTTGCCTGCTCGGCGAGTGCGGCGAGCTTCTTTGCACCGCACGCGCTGAGCCAGCAAAGATAGCGGTGATAGCTTTCAGCGCACTAAGAGGCGCACTGCTGAAGCTTGTGGAGCGCAGAGGGAGGGGCGTGAACACATCGAAGTAGGCCACACACCCTCGCTCCTAGGCTCACTTCCAGGTGGCGCATCCTGTACCGCGAGCCACGCGCTCCTCTGTTCGCATTTCATTTTTCCCCGATAGTACCTTGCACAGTGAAAGCTTCGATGTTTCTGATAATATTCTCATCATCATATCTTTAAATATCTTCCCAATAACTAATATTCATGCATCTAAAGTATACAAAGTTACTTATCATGAAAACAATAAATTACATTTTTTGTGGAACTGATCATCGTAAACAATCGTTTCATTACATTGTTACCCCGAAGACACATCCACTGGGGATTAGGAAACGTACCTGAGAAACGAAGGGCCAAACAATCTCTAATAAATATATATAAATATTTATGACTGCTCCAGTTTCTTCGCCACAAGCCGACAAATGTCTGTGGGTGCTATTGCCATCCCACCTCTGTGACCAATCAGGGTAACATTAGTTTAAGGAATCTATAGACAAAGTAGCAAAGTAAAAACCACGAGGTTTACACACGAATAAGCGGCTTCTTAAGGAAATGAGATGCCAGTTAATAACACATGCGCAAGAAATCACCTAATTTGGCACAACTTTGAGGCGTGTCTCTGCAGCCGGCGGCCACGGTCGAGTGCTTGCTTCCCCACACCACTGGGCAGATTAAGCGAGCGCGCCTCTCAACGTGTAACCTTCACCGTAATGGAGTCACGCGACAGCCGAAGGCCCTGCTCAGAGGCATCCCTGTTGCGACACAGTTCCGTCCTCCTCCCCCTCACACACCCACGACACTGGCACTGTGCCAGTCGTTCACGTCCCAATATTTACACGCCACAAAAAGCGCGCGAACACGCAAGCTCGATTTAAAATAACTGCCGCTAAGGGGGTTGCCGGCAGAGTGCGGCAGGGCGACTCTGGCAGACTTCCCGGCGTCCTTGGCCCAGCTGGAGGGACCCGCGAACACGCCCCCCCCCCCCCCCCCCCCTCCCCCCTCTCTTCTTCTTCAGCGGAAAGCATCTCTTCTCTCTTCTTGGTGTTCGGGACAGCAATAGGACCCCGCGGGACAGCGAGATGGCGATGTCTCTTGAGCTGACCATCCTTCAGCTGATCTGTCTCTGCCTGTCGGTGGCCGTCGTCGGTGCGAGCAGCGACGCTACTTATGCCCGGTGGTTTCACGGGACCAACAGTAGGCGCCTTTTGGATGAGGCCCTCAAGGGTGACGAGCCCGTGTTCCTGGAAGCGGACGTGGTTGTGGAGGGTAGCATGGCCGTCCTGGAGCACCCTCTGGATCAGCCCTGGGACTTGAGTCTCCGGGACCTGCTGAACCTGGTCACGGCAAAGCCCAAGAGGGTTACCCTCAAGCTGGACTTCAAGAGCACCGAGGTCCTTCCGTCGGCCATCAACGTCCTTATGGGTGCTCTGACAGAGGTGAGGAACGCAACTTGGGACGATCGTTCGGACAGGAGCGCTGCATGAGCGTTCGACTGGGACTCGCCTTTCCACTGATTGAACTGAGTTCACGCCGAATGGTGACCCAGCACTTCTGTCCAATCTGAGATTAGCGCTTATAAGGTGACGTAAAAAGTTTAGCACCAAGGACTTGTTATCTAGGGAGTGCTGTGCAAAAAAAGAAAAAACGTATCCGGGAGCAGTTTATCGCTCCTTTTCCGGAATTAGCGACAAACATCAGCGTGTTTGTGAATAAGTGGCATAGTGTAGTTGGACATGGTCATGGAAAGAAAATGTTTTATTCGTTCTTGCGAGTCGCGTTTGCTAAGTGCTGTGCTGTACTTTGATGCTGAGTTAATTGAATAAAACGTTTATTTTAGCTTTTAGAAATTGATACCCAAGGCAGTTATGGATGAACACAACGCAGAAATGTATTTAAAAAAAATGAGAATATAAAAAAAAAAATTGATGAGGGTAAAACAATAGAGCTGACGGCAAAAACAACAACAACAAAACAAACCGATACGACCTGCCGTCAACACAATTAACTCTGAAACATCCGCTGACCGCTCATGGTGTTGCCGTCAGAGGATATTTTATATTCCTCGGGTAACGTTCATCCGAGCAATACATTTGTTATTGTTACAGATGTAATGATGTTGCCTTTAATATTTTAGGCATGGGACATTTTTTAATCGTTGTCCTTAAAGTTTCTGAACAAATTTTCGAACACTTTTGACATTCATATCCAAAATAATTACAGAAATAAAAAAGTAAGAGAGGGAGAGGGGGGGGGGGGGGGGGGCATATCTTGATGTCTAACAGCGTCTGCTTAGTTAGACGAAAAGGAAGAACATATACTGAAAGCTAATAATTTGTAAACCTATATCGGTAATGCGTGTCTCGAAAAGTTTATACTTAATGCGTGAATACAATATGTTAAACCTGTGTCTGTCTATGTAAAAGGAGGTGGTGGGTGCTTGGACCAGCAACATTAAACATTCGGCTTTTAATTGTAGTGAAGTATTATTTATGAAGTTCGTTCTTGCATCTCAACACTCCATATGATTTAATTCATCAAAGCAAAACTTTAAAATACTGATAATTAAGCACACATTTACTGAAAGTTAATTCGGTTGGAAAACCTAAGTATTGTTCGATGCGCCTGCAGAAAATTATGTTTAGAACTGTCTGACGTGCCATGAATATTACCAATATTCAACGTTTTTCAACTTTTTTTGTGCTCAATTATTCGCCTATAAATTCTATATCTTATAATGATAGTCTGGACACGGATTTTTACAGGAAGGTCCCTTAAAGAGAAAGGTATATAAAAATACTCACATTTCATATGACCATGTATATGTCTTCTGAAAACATCACCCAATTTAACTATAGCAAAACTAAAAAACCGTGACGCGAGGGATATATTCAAAATACGAGAACCACATGCGAGAAAGAAAAAAAAACACAAACAAAAAGTACTAAACTATTTTAAAATTTGTATCGTCTAGTTGTTTTGATGTCAACAAAACTAGCGACCGGTTAAATATTCAGGTTACGGGGGATTTTGTACTGGTGGAATATTGCAGGTGCACAGAATCTCCAAAACCTAACATTTCCTATCACGAGTTGTATATTAAAACCAGACTCTACCATCGTTTCTAAAAAGAGATAGAAAAAAAAATAAGTTAACACTTACGAACGTGTACAAAGAAGGCCACATACGCCTAAGTGGAAAATTACTCTTGCCGACCACGAAGTATACCAGGCGGAATGAGTTAGCAAATACCCAAGACGTGTTGTGCCACTTCCTTATTTAAATCGTTTCTTGTGCGAGTCGCTTCTTCAAATTGCTTTAGAGGTACCGCCCTCCCTAGTGCCACCATCTCTTTCTACCTTGTTGTTTTCAAAAGACGGTCCATGTTTGAAACGTCCGTCGCGTTTTTGCGTTTGCTTGTCTGGATTTATGCCGAGTTACGGACCAATTTGTCACAGTAGCGGTTGCATACCCGAAGAACCGGTTCCTCCCCCGTCTTGTTCGTCGGTTTCCGCACCATGCAGGCGTGTGTGGGTGGAAAGCCGGCCACGCGAATGTTGTGATGCAAGTCGGAAGTCTCTCTAAAAATAAAAAGAAGGCGACGAGAGAGAGAGAGAGACAGAGAGGCGCACTGCGCAATAATTAGCCGCACAAGTCCGTCCCTCTCTCTTTTTTTTTTCTTTAAATTTGTCAACCGTAGCGGTTGCGCTCTAATTACGTCTCGTGTTCGGAGAAGGATGTTATCGCAAACTCCGCCCGGAATTAAATAATTGCGGGGATTGTCGAAACTGAGGGCCAGCCAAAGAGCGCGGCCGTGCTGACATCGCCGCCTAGAGCTTTCTCGCGTGTGTGCAAACACTGGGGGCGGCTGTGTACGGGAGCGCGCACAGCAACCAGCACTTGGATGTCACAATCCAACAAGAAAAACACCGCTGCTCTGCTTTTTTCTTGGTAGCGAATCCGAGTTCATCGCTCCTATACAGGACGTGCGCATGACGTTGTCGCCTCGTGATGGTGGTCCTTCTGGATTATCCCCCCTTACTTATTCCCACCGATAAAACCAAATTCGGTTGTGCGGAATGCACGCAGGAGGTGCGCGCTCAGCAGCAAGACCACCGCAATAGCCACTGATGCATTGCGACGTCAGTGCAAGCCTTGCATTTGTCTCCTGCAGCGAGTCGTTCATGACCACCTTTTCACAGCTTGATATTTGTTTTTACCGCCGGGTGCTGCGAAAATTTGAGGCGCTAAATCCTAACTGTGAAAGAGTTAGCGCAAGAACATAACTGATGACGAGTAATTTGTGTGCCTGCCACTCTCACGGTACGCAGCAGCAACTTTCTTAACAGTCGCTTCATAAATATTTGTGGAAATACAACAGTGCGCACATGATTGATGATTCATTTTCATAACAAATAAACACATGCGCTAAGGAGTAGCTAATGAAGCATTAAATCGAGTGGTTGTCTCGGAGGACACGCACAACTTACGCATAACTTTTATTCACGTCATGGTGATTCTAATAATCGCTAGTACGTGGGAAATCCTTTTATTATATGCTTTTGAGTTATTCAGATTACTCTATTTATTATGTTTACCACTTACGCTGAGTTAATTTTCGTATAAAAAATAATTGGCATAATTCCCAGCTTCGCTTCACGGTTCCTCCTAGCTTTCTGGTAGCCACTAGGATTTTTTAGTCCAGGCTGACCTCGCTTTAATTGTGTTTGTTTAAAAGAAAAAGAAAAAAAAAACAGATAAAAGGTTGTTGAAAGACGGCACTGACTTGTGCCAAGTACTTCTTGTCATTGAGTGCACGTTTCAGTTGGTAAAACAACCAATTTATTGGCTTTTGGCTCACGTCGTTTTGGCGTGTTGAGACTTTAAAAAAATGTAAGCTCGCAGTTGTGACGATCTTGCTGCTCAATTATTTCCACTTGCGAACCAGTCCCAGTTAGCGGCAGAATACGCGCGAAGCATGCAGCCATCTTTGCGGAGGGCAAGTTCGTCTGCTTCTTTTGCAAGGGTTGTGGTGACATCAGAACGACGCCGGGCTCTGATTGGCTCTAATTGAAGGATAGGGGGTAGACCTCAAAGCAAGCTGCCTTAAGGTCTACCCACTATCCTTCCAATCAGAGCCAATCAGAGCTCGGCGTCTTTCTGACGTCACCCCAACGCCTACAAAAGAAGCAGACGAACTACCCCTCCGCATAGTCGCTGACAGTCTAAGAAACCCAGGACGTAGCTTAATATGTTGGCGCGTCTTACACCATGATAGGTTCTTGGGCGTTCGTATCGGCTGTTGCTGCAGTCTCATTTGCTCTGGACAGGCGATGAGATGCTAGGAACTCCAGAGGCCCAGCGTTTTTTAAGCCGCCAGTGATCACTGACAGCAGCACTAGCTCACACGACTTCAGGCGACAAAGCATGTTGACGCTGAGTGATGGCACTTCGATGAGCATAGAAAAATAGGAATGACATCATTCGTATTAAACTTTTAGCGGTGAACTATAATTTATAAACCACAAGTAGGGAAACGTGGATCGCTTACCCTATTAAAAAATCAAATTTGTATAATAAATGTCTGTGTCCAATGAACACATGGATCATACAAGATACATAAGAAAATATAAGAACCATATAAGAAACTCGTAAGAAACTTCTCACAAGTTACTTATATGGTTCTTATATGTTCTTACATTTCTTATATAGTTCTCAGATAGCTCTTATATGTGCTTATATATCTTGTATGATTCATATGTGTTTATTAGACACAAGAAATGTCTCATACAAATCACTTTTTCACTGGGGTAGCTATCTGGCGGCCAGGGCTATAGATGCAATTGACCTGAGCGGTGTAGAACGCTCCCGAGAAGGCTCATCGCCGATGTTCTCGCTCGGGCAGGCGAACCTAAATACTGTGGCGAATCTTCGGCGGTACACTTTTGCTATCCTTATAGTAGTCGACACCTTGATTGTATAAAGGTACATTTACACAAGAGCGTATGCTTACGTTTTTTTACGTTAATGTATTAATTTGTACCGTTCAGAACTATACTCCTTAAATTGTTCGCCAACGCTCCGTACAAAGCAGGAATATTCCGGTGTCTCAAAATAAAATAAACACCATGCAGGCGTGTGGGGGTGCAAAGACGGGTGACGTCGACGGTCTTGAGACTATTAAGGACGGTGGTCCACAGAAGTGCCAAGAGGTTCAGTGACGTAGTTTAACTGGGATGTTCGTGATATCACCTGGTAGGGTCTATATCTTTTAAAAAAGGCTTGGAAGAAAGGCCGGCTTCTCGATGCATGACCCAGAGCCACACTAAGTTCCCTGGGCTAAAACTGGCTGGGCGGAGATGAAGCAATGAATACGACAAGAAATATCGGTGTAACAATACCAATACAAAGAGATCGAGTCGGAGGCATATCCTGCTGA